AAGGATGGGATATTGCTGGTGCAAATTAACTGGAGGATTATATGATGAAAGTCACCCTTTATTGGGTGTCAATCTGGGGTACTATTTTTTCTTCTTTAAGTTTTTTGACACAGATTCTCACTATGTAGTCCATGCTGGCCTCAAACTTTTCATCCTCCCTGCCTCAGCCTCCCCAGTGCTGGGATTACAGGTGTGAAGCACCACACCTAGTACTAGTCCCTTTTCCTAATTGTCTTCTGTAGTTTTCACACGGTCCTGAGAAGTAGGCATTGTTCTTCCTGTATTCCAGATGAAGAACCGAGGCTCAGAAATGCTCGGTGACTGTCCCAGCTCAGATCATGGCAGTGTTTGACTCTTACATGACGAATGCTGAAACCAGTTTTTCCCTATGTATTTTCCATGCCTTCTGAAGATTTATCTGAAAAGCAAATGCAGCTTTATACTGAAGTGTTAGTTTAGGTTGACTTTTATGAAACAGGCTATTTTTTTTTTTACATTAGCAATATCTCTTCCTGGAGGAAAGAAACTCCTTACCATTTATCCACTCTGGGGTTTTATCTGCATTATTTTATTTTATTCCACATCTGTGATCATTCTTACAAATCCTAGGAAGTTATGTCAACGAGGCTCTAGTAAAGAGAATAGAAGCCACATTGGGCACTTTCTAGGGAGACTGAACACAGGGGACTTGCCACTTGTTGGAGTAGATGGAGAGGCAAAGCAAGGAGCACTGTCAATGAAGGTCAGATGCTACAGACATTGTGGAGCCCCTGGGGCTGGAGGAACAGAAAGGGAGATGGGGCCGCGGTGGTCTCTGAAAGGTTTCTATTTTCTTCCCTGGATGCTGATTGATAATGGAGCCTAACGTCCAGGGAGTTTCTTAAAATGACCACAGAGCAGATTTGGAATGTGAACTAAATAAGAGAAGTGGTACCCAAGCACCAGGTCTCTAAGGCCACTGCCACTGCTGTTTCTGCTGCTTTGGGGATCCCAACTCAGAGCACTGAGCAGGCAGCCAGGAACCCTATGTGGCCCCTTGTAGCTCTCTGTACTGTCACCAAAGCAGAAAAAAAGTAGTTTTTCCCTGATGCAACCTTTCTAACCTAGTCTAGTCTGCTAATGCTTCATGTTGGCAGAACCTAAATGGTACCAGAGGGCAGGGGATTCTGGAAATGTGGGAACAGCGTGCTGCCCACTCTCCTGGCCATCACAGAGGCCAGAAGGAGCCAAAGCAGGCTAGTGGCCACAGGAACTTCACTCAGCAGGCATTGCCTCCTCCTATTACTCAGACCCGTTCAGGTGGCAAGGGAGATGATTGAGGCTGGGTTACCCAGGAAGCCAACTGGGAGGTAGCTTTGTTTGTAAGAAGGATGTCAGGACTTTCTCTCAGGAACAAGGCCTGGGGGATCCCAGAGAAGCAGGGCTGTGTCGAGTGAATGTCAAGTAGAAACAGGATACAATTGTAATGCCATGAGAACCCCTGGGTCCTGCAGTCCTTCTGAGTCATCCCTGGGAGCCCCATACCTGTGCACTGACCCTGTGACCTTTGTACAGACTGCTCTAGGGAGGGATCATCACCTTAACTGACACAGCACTCTGGGTGCAGGACAAGTCACCAACAGCCAAGATGCCCGACAGCTGGGAAGTGCGTGCCCACCTTAAGAGGCATCCAAGCAGCATCCCCACTGCCAGGATGGCAGTCGTGAGGGAAAGCCCAGAACTGCCCAGCCACAGCCCTGCAGCCACAAGATAGTCTGGCCACCTCTAGCCTGTCACTGTCCTCTCACACCCACATTGCTGGCGCCAGAGCCTCCAGTCAGGTTCTCTGCTTCCACCTGTGCCCACTACCATCCATTCTCTCTCCCACAGCCAGAGTGAGCTGCTCAAATCCTAACCCAAATCATAGAACTGCTTTGTTAAGCCCCACCCCATCCTTAGTGGTGGTCTTAGCACCTAGAAACACCTCCAACCCCCTATCAGGGTCTCCAGGCCGAGTGTCACCTGGCCCCTGCCTACCTGCCCCTGCCCCACTCCCACCATCCTGGCCCTTATGCTCAAACTCTCCGAGTGCTTTCCCACCTACGCCTGGCTGTTCAGCTGCAACCTTTCTCCCCGCATGCAGGTTTCTGCTGTCTTGTCACCTCTTCCCTGAGGTCTTTCCATGACATTTAAATTGGCACCTTCTCCCTTCCATCTTTTTCACAGCCCTTCTTGCTGCCTGAAACGTCTTATTTATTGATGCCATGGTTCTGTCCACCTCTCCTAATCAGATGCGTACCTGTCCGAGAGCAAGAATTGGTATCTAGAAGAGACCTTGAGCTGGGTACTACTTGGGAGGTAGAGGCAGGATGGTCTCTTGACCTCGGAGTTTGGGGCCAGCCTTCAGGCAACAGTGTCCCCATCTCAAAATATAAATAAATAATAAAAGTCCTTGGCACAAGGTAGGTAAATATTTGTGCTGTGTAAGTTGACCGCCTTCTAAATGGAGGATAGCTGTTGGATGAACACTTTCTTGAAAATCCCCTCATGGGCATCCTCGTGTACTAGTCCCATCCAGGTTGCCTTGGCTGGGTCTGTGAGCCTCTGTCCAGTTGGTGATAATCAGAGAAGCAGAAGGGGCTTCGTCTGTCAGACCCATTAGATAGATGGTGACTCCTTTAGGAGCATCAAGGAAGTCCATTTCCTCGGAAGGGGGCTTCACGGGGCTTCATAGTCCCACCTCTGGTGTAGACCTCCATAGAGCAGTTAGCCACCTGTGTTCCCATGGACACTGGTCACCACAGAAGGAAACCTGCCCTTCTCCTGGAGTAGGTAGGACCCATAGTGGCTGGGGTTGCTAGGGATGCTGGGGATTCATTCATTCTGTTGATGTTTCTGAGCAGGGAGCCCACCTTGGTTTTTCCCTTTGCCAGCTGATGTCCCAAAGGAAGTGAAAATCTCCTTCCAAGGGTTCAAACGCTTCCTGATACCTCACACCCTTTCATTTTGGTTCCCTGCAATGAAAAGTGTTTCAATAAAAGTGGTTACTGTCATTTACCAAGTGCCTATTGTCTATCAGGAACTGTGCTAGGTATGTAATTCAGAGATGTCCAGGAACTCGCTTGAGGGGAGAGAGAACCCACGTTTATGAGAGGCAGATGCCAGCCTCCTTCCACCCTTTTACCCAAGAAATTAAGAAGACTGGAGAGTTACTATTAGTGGAAATAGCTGTTGTTGGTAAAATAGAAATATGACAGATCTTACTTCAGAATGGACTAGCTAGTTTTGTTTGAAAAGAAAACACAAAAGTGGAGGCTGATTGATGCTCACCTCCACTTTCCCCACTCCAGTGTCATCCATCTAGGCTTGGGCACCCTTCCATATACTTTTAATTTAATCTACAAAAGATGCTGCAGAATTATTCACATTGTAAACCTGGAAGTTTGGGGATTCTTCAAAATGTGGCAGGAGATTGGTAAATTAGTTAGATCTCCACATTTGTGGAAGGAAAAAAAAACACTCCTGGTGGATGGGGTAGATGGTTGCATTTTTCCCACCCAGGCAAAGTGGTCTATTTGCATCCTTTTAGAAGGTGTTCTGTAGTTTCCAATTGTCCCTAGAAATAAAATCACAGCTCCAGTCTCACCTTCCCTTGAAGTGTTTTCACACCTGAATACAGAATTGTGGGTGTCAGTTTCAAAATGATACTACTTACAGCTGTCTTCACTGTCTTCGGGACTTCAAAAAGGTGTCAAAGTGGCCTTGGAGGTGTTTCTGTTCTAAGAACAGGTGGGGGATCCCATTTGCTCCGAAAGATGCAGAGCCTCACACTCTGAGCTCCACCAAAGGGAAGATGCTCTCAGGCTTTCTTCTGAGGATTTAGTGGGATGGGAGTATTCGCTGTGCTTTCACCCTGATGGTGTGAGGCCATATCAGAGAAAGCAGGGGACCTTTAAAATAATTTCTTTTCCTAATTTGACAATAATGGAAAGAGAGAGAGGAATTTACTTCTGCATCAGAAGCAACATGCAATAGAACTAGCCTGGGTATTAAAATGAACCTTGGATTTGAATCCCAGCCTCACTTACTGACCTTGTAAAAAAGTAGGGGATGGGAAGAGTGACTCAAGGGGTAAAGCACCTGCCTATAAGCAAGTGCAAGGCCCTGAGCTCAAACTCCAGTACCACCAAAAAAATGAAAATAAAAAAGTAATTAAAAAGTGTGTAGTCTCTCTGTGTGTCTCAATTTATTGATCTGTAAAATGACTGTATCCCCTTGCCACTTAGGCTCGTCATTAAGTTGCAGTGATATCACTCATGTCAGTTTCCTTGCATGGTTGTGGAATTTTTAGATGGACAAAAAAGAGGTGACATCCCCTCTTTAAATTCCTGGTGTTTAGCCAAGCATATGGAAGGCAACAAGACAGATGTAGAAGATGACTCCATCTTCAGCTCCCAAGGTCCTTAATGAGGGGCCCTCTGCTGCCTGTGACAGCCGTCAGGTCTTGCCGGCTCTAGAAGCTTGATTTTGTGCCACACCATAGCCCAGTTATAATTGGGGCTGACGTCACCATTCAGGAAGAACTTACAAAAAAACATTCTCTGTCCTTAATAAGAAACTCTAACCTCCCACACATCTTTCTGGGTGGCCAGAGGACCAGTCTCTGAGGGCCTCACCTCTGCCTCCATCTTCCCTGGAAGACCTAGTCCCCATATTAACATAGGACCTATGGGCATTTAATAAATAGTCACAGTGACAATGATGATGCTTATCTTGGCTTTAATTCACAAGTGATAGTTCCATTATTGATTTCATGCTCTGCACAAGTTAACCAGATAAAGTCACAACTAATTTAAAAATAATTAGTTTGATTTTGCATCTGTGGTCCAATGGGAGTCTAATTTTTCTCCAATATTAATAATCACATTGTATAGTTAATGAATTTTGGTGAGCTCAGTAGTGTTTGGGCTAATGTGGCATTTCTCTTTTGTTCTTGTTTGTTTGTTCCGTTCTGTTTTTAGGGTCAAGTTGTGTTCCGGAATGGGGAGAGAATGGGGACCATTAAATTTACTCAGTTTCAAGGTAGGCTTTTGATATTTATTCTTTCTAGTTGATGGCTTTTGTTCTCAGGGATGTTGTGTTTCTGCAATAAAATATATCAAAAAGAAATGAAAATATGATGTGAGATTCCAGGGAAAACAAGAGAGAGTCAAGAGAAAACGCATCTGCAGAAAGCGCTAGCTCTCACTTACGTAGAATGTTCTCAACCGTGTTATGTTGCAAGCCTACTCCACCTCCGCACAGGACCCAGGGCCCAGAAAGGTAGGGAGGCTGGCAGTAAGTCAGCTGCAGTGTGCCGAGAAGGCTTGCACTATCACTGGGCTTGATTATAGAAGTGTTCGACAGACTCTAACGTAAAGAGACAACTAGCATGATGAGCCTTCGTGTCGCCGTCCCCTAGCTCAAACCATTATCCAGGTTTTGCCAGTCCTGTTTTATCTTTGCTAACTCCCATCCCCCCATGTTTCGCTGTCATATTTTAAAGGAGCTCCTAGACATTATCTCATTTCAGCCTATAAATACTTCAGTATGCATTTCTACTAGATAAGGACTTTTTAAAAACAACCACCATACTACTGTCATATCTAAAACATTTCACAACAGTCCTAATGGCCTTCATTCCCACTCCATGTCGATTATCTGAACATTTCAAAGCTTTCTTCAAAGCTGATGGCTTGCTCGTTGGAGAATCCACACAAGGTGTCTCTTCGTCTCTGTTCTGTAATTGTTGGACTTTTCTGAATGGGCCTCAGAAACCCCCAGACCAAGTTCCTTGTGTGATAAGGAGGAAACAGAGGCCCAGAAAGGGACTGTGACTTGTTAGAGTCCTCAGGACATCCCTAGGGAGCAGGGCTGGGCCTCAGGGCAAATCCTCAGTTCAGCCCAGTACAGTCATTAGAAGAATGGACATCCCAAACCACCAGATGGACCATTCATCAATGCAGGGTTTTTCCACATCTTGATCTTGTGGGAAATTCCACAAGGAGGGCAGTGCCTGCTGGGTTCGCTCACTTTGAGCAAATCCCAGAGTTCCAGGGAAAAGCAAGAAATTAAAGCAAGTTGTTCAGACTCATTCAGACAAATCCCACCAGACAAATCTCTCCTGATCAATGGGTAGAGGTGGTTTTCAGCACTATCACTTCATAATGCAATCTTGTAGGTTTCCCCATTCCTCTTCCCTTGGCAGATAATTGAAACACATGTCAGCTCTCTGGCATGCACAAAAGATGTCATTTTAGGCAAATGTAATTATTTTCCCATTTGTTAAGTTGTCTTCATTGGTTGAACAAAGTAAGCATCCTGGCAAAGATACGTACTTTTTTTTTCAAGTGATTGCAGCTAAATTCTCTTGTCACTTTTCCAGTTCTCAAATTATATCATTCGAAGAGAGTATTTTGTAAAATATGGATCAGTTGATCACAGCTACTAATGCACACCAGTTTTCTTGCCTTTTTCTTTTTCACGTGTTAGGTTTAAGCACTACTTCCTGTGATTGTGGGTTTAGGCAGATCTGGATTTATAAGGAAGGTAGTACAGCAAATAGCAGGTCAGGGCCGGGCATCGTGGTCCAGCTCACTTGAATGCAAGTGATACCTGCAGAACATGAGGCAAGTGAATTCTTCTCAGTGAGCCTTGATTGTCCTCATCTGTAGAATAGGGACAGATCCTACCTACCCACTTGGAATGTGGAGAGAACAAACTAAGGTAACACATATAAACCCGTGCATTTCAGTTTTACTCAACATGTAAATAACAATTATGACAAGCACCTTGTCAAAATTATGACACTTTTCAGAGGCAGATCTACATTTTTCTGGCGCATTGATACCTGGGTGCCTTTTTGTTGGCATCCTTGGGTGGATGCTGTCCCCCTCCCCCCTCCCACACACACACACACTTACTGGTATATAGGATGTCAGACAGGGCAAGGGCCTCAGAGATGAGCTCATTCCCACTACTTCCTGGTTATCTAGATGGGGAAACTGAGGCTCAGGGAAGTGATATGTTGCCCAGGGACAAATGGCTGGCTAGTGGCAAGCCTGGGCCTGGACCTTAGCTTTTCCCAGCATCCACGTGCTCACTTAGGCACCTTGCCTTTCCCACATTTGTGTCCCTCTTTTATGGTGTGTCGGGCCAAGGCCTTCAGATACTCCTTTTATCTGTGTGTAGAATAGATGCTGGTCCTGCTAATCTAGTAGGAACTTGGAGACTGAAAGAAGCCAGAAGCATCCGAGGGGCAGGGAAGGTGTGTGCAGCAACATGACAGCTCGTTTTCCAAATTCTAAGGTTTCAGAGGTGCCTTGCACACAAGAGTAGAAGGGCACTGAGTCGCTGACTGTGCTAGCTAAGCTGGAAGGGCTGTTTAGCCTTTCATTTCAGAGAGGAAACTGCGGCCTACACTGGGCAGCCTCTTGACTCAATTCCCTCCTTGGGAGCCTGTGCTTCTCCCTCCCCTCAAAAAGGGACTGGTTTAGACTCTGTCTTCTGGAACCTTCTGGAAACTTTTCCACAAGATGGACTTATCCCCCACCCCAGGGTTACCTACTCCTGAAGTGCCTCATGCCAGTAGCCTCACAAAAGCCTCCACATAGGGCCATGTTTTCTGCCCAGCCTTTCATGCTTGCTCTGTCCTGTCTATTTCTCTGCCTGGCCTCTGCCCTCCTCTCTCACTTGGAGGGGACAGAGGAGCAGAGGTCTTGTGACAGAGCTGACAAACACGGGGCAGCCCCTCAGCCGACCCTGCAGTAGAGGTTCCCTGTCCAGAGCCACTGCTTGGCTCACACCAGTGCATAGAGTAGTGACTTGGAAGGCGACTTGGAAGATGCCCGGTCCACCCTCCCTCACAGGCCTCCGAGATCCTTTCTAGCTTCTCATTTGCAGAGTCCTGGTGCCTTCTAAATCCTTTTCTCTACAGTAGAGGAAGTGCTTTGCAGGCAGGTCTGCTCACTGCTTTGCAAAACTAACACACAAAAGAGTTGGAAACAGAGGCAGCTTTAAGGCAAAGACCAAGATGGGGAACAGGGAGCCATGGTCCTTCTCCACTTTTTGATTCTAGGGCTACAGGATTAGTGCTTGGTGCCAAGGAGGCCCCCAGTAAACATTTAGTGAATTAATTTGGAAGCGAAGGTCCTCAGTGCAAGTTACTGCTCTGATGTTCTGGCAGCGTGACCCTGAACACGTCACTTTACCCCCTGATGCAATGGCACGGGCACGGTCGGGGGAAAAGTGAGCTGGTGCACTCTGAACTCGTCAGTGCTGGGAAGCTATAGGCAAGTCACTAGCAGCTACCAGCTCCTGCCTGCCTCTTCATCCATTGGACCCCAAACTGGAGACATCCAGTGGACTCATGAAAATATAGGGACATTTTCATTTACTCCTGGTTTCCAGTGACTTCATTCAAGGACACATCTGGCAAAATACAGCCTTGACAACAGATGTGTGAACCAAAGTTGGTTCACATTGGGGACCATTGTTGTCCAGGCTGCAGAAACAGCTTTTTAATTTTAATTGGAACCTCAGAGTGCTGGATAAACAGGACTGTCCCGTTCTTGAGACCAAGATGTTGGGAGCCCAGTGAGGGCTCAATCCTTCTCATGCCTGGCTCCCCTTCATTTGCTCAGTGTCCAAGCACTCCCAGAGCCCCAACCTCCCAGCAGCACCGTCCCCGGGGGTAGGTGTGGTGGGTGCCATCAGTGGCCACCCATGTTGCCTGGCACCTGCTATTGCAGAGCAAGTCACCTTCTCACTTGGAGCTTCTGCAACTCCACATCTGTAGGAAGAGCAGGCAGGTTATCCAGGTTATCACAAGGGTAGTAGCCCTGAGGCAGGGGTGAGGCAGGGATGAGTGAGAGATGGCAGGCATCCTCTCCCTTTGGGTGAGACCTCTCCAAAGAGTGTTCTACTGTTCTCCCAGAGGTCTCCAGTGGCCCCAAGCAGCCCAAGCTCAGCTGCCCACACAGAAACCTGCCTGCTCCTTGTATGGCCTCCTTTTCCTTCCCTACTCCTCTGACCCTCCCACATCCCCATCAGGGGTCCCTAGGACTACCTCTTAGACACCTGGTGTGTAGTCTTCCCCTTTTGTCCAGGTTGGCACTATTCCAAGGGACCCGCTAGGGCAGTAGGTAAGGCAGGTGCGGGAGGTGAGACAGGTGCGGTTATCAGGACCCTTCCGATCACACACCTTAGGCTGCGCCAGGTTAACTCCAGGTTCACTGCTCCTCCCCCAGTCACCACTGCTTTCCACGGAGCCATGTGTAGATGAAGATGAATACTAGATAACTGGCTTTTTTTTTCCTTAAGAGAAAAAAGAATCCTGTTACCACCGAGGTCTAAACAGGACTCAGAATCTGTGGCAGGGAAGGAAGCTGAGCGGAGCTGTGATTAGGGTCTTGTTTTGCAGTTCTCAGAGAAAGCCCACAGCATCTGCGCTTGCCGCCTGCCTTCATTAGGCCTGTTTGTGAGAATGTCAGTGCCATCTCGACTGGGATTTTACAAGGCTCCGTGCAACATAAAGGATGCAGACTGGAGTGATGTGTCTCGGGCACCTGATTTGCAGGGATGGGGTCTCGCCTGTCTCTAACGACATAATTGTCATTCAAGATGCACCTAGTGAATGGAAGCCCCTCCTCCCCACTTCCAGACATTAATTACTGTTCGGTCTTCAGGGTAACAGATATGGTTCTATGCAGCATGCACTTCCTAAGCATCAGCAGGGCCTTTGCTGAATCCTGGGGGAAGCCAAGTTGAATAAGATACAGTCCCTGTCTCCTGGGGCTTCATAATCTCTCTGGCCAAATGCCAGTGCCTATAAAAGCAGGATAATTTCCCAGAACCTACCAGAAAACTTTCAGAGCTAGTTTCATCCTAGCTGGAGACTCTCAAGACTGGTTTTTAATATTCTTTACCTTCTATCAAGGCGCATGTTGTCACTCCCTCCACCAAGCCGCAGATCTGGCAAAATGTCCTGGTAGACGGCCACTCGACTTGAATACTTAGGAGTGGAGATGAGGTCCCCTGAGTGT